GAATCTAACGGTGATAGCAGCATTTCCAAAAAATGCACAGCAACTTTGGGTAGCAAAAATTTAGGGTGGACCTATAATTATGAAACGCAGTGTATATGTTGACCTCGAGTAGGGTCGTACTTTATTGTGTTGTGTTCCGGTCTACAATAAACTGGTCGTCTTAGTCGTCTACACTGGAGTGAAGAACACAACATGACCCAAACTCAAAAAATGTGTACGTTTGAGGTACGTCCGTAGTCTGTAAGGCATGCAGGTAGCCCGCTCGAAGAAGAGCTTTGAGAAGATAGCAAGCGGTGAATCTGTCTGATGGTCACTCTCACTTTTCGACCGAAGTTCCTTTCCATGAAGCACATAGGGCATCGCGATCCTCAAAATTATTCTAGTTACTGATATGGTCATCAACTAGTAGAAGGATGGGGGTGCACCTACCCTTTGATGAATAAAGGACCCTGCATCTTTGTCATTGGATTGGTCTTCCCGGCTATCATCGGTAGGTTGAGTGTATAATATTGTTCTGGAGTTGAATATCTCATAACTTGAAAAGAATGATTGGATAAGAAAACCATTATTTTGTCTCCATGTTGTTCCCCAGGAGCATGACAGGCCTCTAATTTATCCAAAGCCCTCCGAGTTATGTTAAATCTCAATTTTTACCGAAACTTCTGCCAATAAGGACTATCCACAGCTGAGCGCAATTTTGGCGCAGAAACCAGTTCCCAACCAGTATTCTAATAGTCTCACTTTCATAAGAGTTGTGGTGATCCTGATCGCGAATATGACATCCATTTGGGTCCTGGTGTCATTCGGCGCCATAATGTGAATACCGCTCTAAAATGCAAAACCACAACAGCAACGAGAGTCGAGCCACCAACTTTCGCCTTGCCATGCCAGTGTAAGGTCTTTTTGCCATACACTAAACTATAACCGACCACCTTTGGTTCGACGCCTCCTATTAAATGCCCGTAGTTCTTCCTGCAGGTGTCATTGACCTACTCCTCGAATTTTCGTTTCCATCTATGTACTTCTTGACACAAAAAACCACTTACAGAAATCGCTGAATGTTTTTAAGGACTGGAAGTCATAGTTATCTTGTTTGGTATATGCATTGAGTTCGTTTTTCTATCGCAGTGCCAGCACAATTGGTATATTTGACTACTGTCGACAGAAAAAAACGCAATATCACTTTTCATGATGGTGCAATCGTCGCGATGCGTGGCCATGCGGTTCAGCCGATAGTGGATGTGTATCCTGGGGTAAAGAGAAGAACATATCCCAATCGCCATGTAGGCGATTGATCGAAGAGGGCTTTTCCCGTTGCGGAATAAGCAGTTGCATGGCTAGGCGTTAATCCGATTGCACCTCTGAGAAGTGTCTTTTCGGCGTGTTCCTCCGCGTTGATGAAGGAAGCTCCCACAAAGTACTCGTTCTCGCTGTGATCCAGCAGACTAACATAGGCCTGACTCTTGGCGCAATCTTCGTTATCGATGTAGAAGAATGTCGAAGCATGTACATTTTTTTAGAACGTGTACATTACGCTATACACATAGCGATGGCTCCCAAGGGGCTCACAAACATGCCAGTTTTTGATTTCCGTTCAGGTTTCTGGTACTCATCGAGTCTGGATTGGGAAGCGCATTTGAAGCGTTGATGGAAGCTCGTGACTTCCTCTTGTTATCCGGCATACAACTGCACCTACAAGACACGACATCTCTGCTAGAAGTAAGGGTGGCCCTTGTCTGAAAGTGAGAAGAGGCCATTTCAAATAGGGAAACATAGAGGCTGTATTTACCACTTTCAGGAACACAATTTGATGACTGATCAAATCAAAGAAGTTCTTCATAACAGGAATGTCAGCGACTTAGAGCGCTTCACGATTGTGCGCGATATGGTGGGTTTCAATTACAGCGAAGCATTCTGTGCTTTCATTATTTCTTCTTGGTGAATTGAAGGTTCCTTCTGAATTGGATTTGCCCACAGCTCTGCCTCCTGCTACCGTGTACGCTCCTTGCCCACACGATTTAGGATGTCCATTGCTCAAATCCAAGTACGTAACACATTTTGCTACGAGATTATTCCAAACTTTTCCGTCTCAGACAGTCTTGTACTATCCCCGTTCGGTGGCGAGTCATTCGAGCGGATGGCAAGCGTTCGCGAAATGAGCTATCGGGCACTGAGGTTGGGAAGTTGTCTTACGTCGTATTGGAAAAAGGCGTACGAGCTTCTCAAGACACCATTTCCAGAATACTCAAGGTGAATCCTTCTTTTATAAAAATTAACGGAAATTTCGTTTGTACATCTGTCAACATAGAATTTCTAACTGCTGCCTGTGTTTTTGGGCTTTCGAATAGTTGTAGGATAGGATAGTCTCTCATCTTGCAATCCCTCTAATCATACCTTGACCAGGGCAAGGAATAAACTG